AAAAACGGGAAACCAAATCGAGCATGTTGTGACAGACGGAAGGCATGCTTCCATGTTTTAGATGTACATACGTACACTCCGAGGGCCAAACATCGACTCGCACTACTATATTGATGCATCCAATATACGACCCAACCTCGGAGCAGCAGAAAAAGGGCCCCCAACAAGCCAAGGAAATTTTAACGTCGAATAGCTGCAATCAAAACAGACGGCCAATGGATTCGGCGCTCGACCCTCAGACCTGCTGTGAGAGAGCACTCTTCAACAAACCGACTTGCGTGATCAGTGGAACCACATTTCCCGCTCATTACTGGTACGATGAGGAGTGTGAGAAAATACTTGAAATGCTGGCCGACAGATAAAACACCCGAAATTTTTAGCAGAGAGTTGAGCGACTTACGGAAGGTTTCAAGACTTGTAGGAACAACCATGGCGACCTAGTGACCGATGTCCAGAACGTACTCAGATTATGGAGGGAACACCTTTCGACCCTTTTGAATGGCAAATGCACTGAAAGAAGTGGAGAAGACGAAGCCGAGGTCCCAGTCGATGACGATGGTGTCGATATCCCAGCGCCTGACTATGACGAAAAGTGCTCAAGCTGCTTGAGCTGACGGCCTGTCAGCTGAGCTATTTAATTACGATGGCAAGGAGGAAATAAGGTGCATGCCCGACGACTGGAATTCAAGTGCACTCCGCCCAATCCACAAGAAAGGCGATCCCGCCATGCGTGCCAACTACCGCAGGATCAGCCTTCTAAGCATAGGTTACAAGGTCTTATCGAATGCATTGTCTACCATAGATCAGGTATTCACAATACACCAAATCTTGGAAATGACCAGCGAGAAAATGATCAGCACCTATTTGTCGACTTTAAAGCCGCTTTCGACAGCACTAAAAGGAGTTTCGTATATGCCGCTATGTCTGAATTTGGCATCCCCTCAAAACTCATACGGCTGTGAAAAATAACGTTGAGCAATACCACCAGCTCTGCTCGGTTGCCGTTCGCCCCCAGACGGGGTTTCAGACAGGGCGACTCTATTTCATGTGACTTCTTTAATCTAATGCTGGAGAAGATAATAAGATCTGCAGAACTGAACGACTCAGGAACAATTTACTACAAGAGCGTGCAATTGCTGGCTTATGCCGATGACATCGACATCATCGGTAACAAAAACCGCGAAGTCTGTTCTGCCTTTTCCAAGTTGGATAGGGAAGCAAAGCGAATGGTTCTGGTGGTAAATGCGGACAAGACGAAGTATCTCCTGTCATCAAACAAACAGTCAGCACATTCGCGCCTTGGCACCCACGTCACTGTTGACAGTTACAATTTCGAGAAAGTAGTGAATTTCGTTTACTTGGGAACCAGCATTAACACCGATAATAATGTCAGCATGGAAATCCAACGCAGAATCGCTCTTGCCAACAAGTGCTTCTTTGGACTGAGTAGGCAATTCAGGAGTAAAGTCCTGTCTCGACGTACGAAAACCACACTATAAGTCACTCATCATGCCCGTGCTGGTATATGGCGAATTAAAATACAGCGGCTCAACTGGCTTGACCATGTCGTTCGAATGGACACCGACGCCCCACCTCTGAAAGTATTCTGGCGTCACTCGGCATTTCCAATTGGCGTCAGTTGGCCAAAATCGCTTTGGTGGTTACAGCGCCAAATAAGAAGAAAAGAAGAAGAGAATAGATCTATAACCTTATCAGTCACACAGTGTTATAATCCCAACGAAATCCTTGACGGTGGTAGCGGGAGGGGAACGGTACATGACGGTTGGAAGTTTAGTTTGGGTTAAAGTCTCACACTGACGGGGTTAGGTTTTCGATGCTTCCTCCTCGTAAAATAAACATGCTCAGTAAAAAGTTAACAATATTAATCGACGAATAGTTTTATATCAACTTTTGTGAACATCTCTTTATTTGTTTTTTGGACAACATATTTACTTCTATTGGTTACAATAATTTTAAGCTATAATAAACAATTTTTTAGTAAGTAAGTTATTGGTTTCGATTTTTTTTTTGTATGGCAACCCCCTCCCCCCCTAAATTTCGTTCTGGCTACGCCCATGCAACAGGCCGTATTCTTAACATTGAAGTAAGTAAATATTTCTAAAGAAAATTGCATACTAATTTGTGTGCATTACATTCATAGTTTCCTAGCACACGGGGGAACTCAGCATTTGTACGCTACAGCGTATAAAACTGGTCGCTCCACAGTCAAGAAAATAATTTTGGAAACCTGCGAAGCGCTTTGGAGTGAACTTGGCAGTGTATATTTGTCTGTGCCAAAAAGGCACGAGTGGAAACGTATATCCCATGACTTCAACACTATTTGAAATTTCGCGAACTGTGTGGGTGCAATCGACGGAAAGCACGTCAATTTAAAATGTCCTTCCAACTCCGGATCTCTATTTTTCAATTACAAGGGTACCTACTCCGTCGTATTATTAGCATGTTGCGATGCGAATTACACATTTACTTTTATCGATATTGTTGCGTACGTTTCGCAAAGCGACGGCGGTGTGCTTTGGAATTCTGGATTTGGACAAAGGCTGTTCCATGATCAACTAGACCTGCCTGAGGATGACTTTTTTCCAGACAGCAACATTAAGTTTCCTCATAATTTCGTTGGAGATGCAGCATTGCCTTTAAAAAAAAATTTAATGCGGCCATATCCTGGTTAGTATACGGAAAATGTATTGCATAGAAAATGGTTATGTTGAAAGTTGCATTTATAGTTTGGAAATAGAAGAGTCTGATGCTTTGCACTGATACAACTTGCAACTCAACCATTATTTGCATCTATACTATTTGCATATGTATGGACATACAAATAAGCCTTTTTTTAATTTCAGGATTGCATCTGCCACCCGATCGTGAAAATTTTAATAAGCGCCTTTCAAGATCTCGGCGTGTTATTGAAAACGCCTTCGGAATTATGACAGCACGATGGAGGATTTTGCTATCCCCATTGCAAATGCAACCATCAAGATCGTGAAAGCAACAGTGCTGCTACATAATTTTTTAAAGCTAAACGATGGCAGTTATTGTCCACCTGAATATGTTGATCGATATGAAGGAGACAATGTATTAAATGGATTATGGCGCCAAGAAATCTCAGCACCCCTACGAGGAACTGGTCGATTAATGTCAAACATCGGTACAAGAAGTGCTTTCGTGTTGAGATATCAATTGAAAGGTTATATAGCCGCGCATCCTATTAATTAAATACACACCTATTCAATTAAGTCACTCACATAACATGTATGTAGTTGCATACAATAGAAGTATTAGTCATTGCGGTATGTAAAAATATGTAAATATTAAGCTGTATATTGCTTCCCTTTACAATTATTTTGCGCACTTTTTCTACGACGATAAAACTCAATGATTAATTATACTCTTCTATAGAATATCATGAGCTTCCTGGAAACTGGCGGTAAGTACATAAGTCTTCTGTGGATTCATTATAATACACCACTGAATCTATTATTTTATTTTGCTCTTTTAACGAATGTTTTTTAGATGGCAAGGCATTGGTGCATCAACTTCAAGTTAATTATATTCACCAGCTCATACAGGCACGCTTAGTCGAAAATCCAAAGGCACTAAGCGAGGTATATAACTGTTCGCATCACTTTTGTCAGTCTCTGCAGCTTAAAGTACTTTACACACAAACGCTACGTCTCAACTATGAACGTTTGGATGAGAATATTAACATTGAAGAATGTGTACCAGGTGTGAGAATAATTACCCAACCGCACTTGCTTCAACGCCGATAAAAGCTAATTACAGAAAATTATAATATAATTATGACACCTATAATTCGCTGAGTTCGATTGCCAAGGTGCCTATAATGCCTCGCAATCTAATCGAAAGTGAGTACTTTACCACATACATAGAAGAAACATATAGTCAGGGTCAAAAATATGAATACCCTGACGTTTTGACGATTTTCTTATTTTTTGGTATCTCTAGAATTTTCGCGAGTTCTATATGAAATTGATAAAATTTATTCTGCTGGTTTTTGCTGTTTGGTATGGAAAACATATATAAAAAAACGTGAGGGTATTCATATTGTTGATGCTGGCTGTTTGTATATATAGTGGCGTTCAAAATAATAGCAGAAAAATTAAAAATGACACTTTTGGCAACTTATCCTTATTTATTTTTTGCTAATCATTTTCATTTAAAATAAGGGTCGATCTATATCAGATACCACATAAATAAAAGTTTCAAAGCTTATACAAAGTTGTGTAGCCCATTAAATTTTAGTACAATAAAGTGCAAGTTTCAAGTCGCAAAAAATTACCGTCGATTTTTCAGAATTTTTCTTGTGGATGGTGTTGCGCATTTCTGCCATATAAAAGTATGTTTTGTTCATGCGTTATATGGAAGAAAATGAGCAACACCCTCCACAAGAAAAATTCTAAAAATCAACGGTAATTTTTAGCGACATGAAACTTGCACCTTATTATACTAAAATTGAATGGGCTACAAAACTTCTAAATTTTCTAAAGATCAGATAAAGATAAGATTTCAGTCTTTAATTATAGGTACATATCGATGGCTGAGTGGAAGATTGACTTATCTTGGCAGTTAGTTCGAATACGCCCTACCTCAGAATACATACCCTTGTGGTCAGCTGATTAAGTTAAGTGTCATTTTTACCAGTTTTTCTTTTGTCTATTTGTTTATAATAATGTTTGTCTAATGTTTATATTTTTTTATAAAAGCCTAGCACATAACAAAACCACCACCATCATATAAATCCATATTTGAGACTTCGTAAAAGTCAAAATGTCACTTAGCTTAATCAGCTGACCACAAGTGTGTATGTACATGTATGTAATTTTATAAAAGTTATTCAGTCTTTTATTTACTACAGGGTAATTCACAAGAATACCCTGATTATTAAAGAACAATTATCGAATTTAATAAACATAAATTAATGAAAAGTAAAAGAACTTTAAGAAACAAGACGCGAAATATAAATATGGTGTGTTTAGAAATGCATCAAGCCGCTATTATAGTTGAAAACATAGTTGAGTATCTCAACTTTGATTGAATCTTGGTCCTGCTCCGAATGTTTCAATACATAGCTGTCCAGAACTTTATAAAACTCAAAATTGCGGCTATTATTAAAGCTTTCGGATTTGGAGCCAACAAATTCATTGACCGCCGCGCATAGTGATCCGAACCTCTCGTTCGCCTCGTCTTCTACACGACGCCGTTTTTATTTTTTTTGCGCTGTTGGACTGCTCCGTGTCGTTTGCCGCAACAGAAGGAAGAGGAGAGCGTACTTCATACTCCTCATAATAAGAGGTTTCGGTCACGTTGCACTGGCTGATGCCGTTTATTTCCTCCTCCTGTGATGTAAAATCCAGATTGGAAAATGTTCTGAAAATAAATAGACAAACATAGATTAAAACTTAAGTATATATACACATAAGAACGTATAAGAATTTTCAATTAAAATAGAGTTCATTTTCTAACAAAACCCATATAAACCCAAGTTTAAAACTTTGTAGAAAGCCATGATGCAAAAATAAATAAATAAAATATTTAAAATAAATAAATAATAATAATAATAACATTTAAATATATGTATCATGGTAGGAAACGACAAAAAAATGCAACGAATTTTCACCCAAAGTTCAAACTTCTTTCTCAGAATTGTTACAATTTGTTTGAGTGCACAGTTTGATAGCCCTTTAAATAATAGTGCTATAATAATAAGCATGAGTGGCAAACAAATATCACTTTGAAATTGGGATGCTATTGGTATGACCGATATGGTATATACATTTTATTTGTTTGTTAACTTACTTTCGAGGAGCAACGAAGCCTCGCATAAAATCCATTGCTTCCAAATATTGCCATGTGGCTCCATCTTCGGCACCAGATCCCGACTTCTTCTTCTGTAATCCTGTCTTCCGGACGAAACGGTCTCTGAGAGACTTCCACCTAGTTTGGCAGTTAGTCACTATTGGAAGAATTAAATAAGGTAATTTTTTATATATTTATATACATATACATATATACAATTACATACCAGGTACTCCCACAGCGCATGCAACGGCATCCCAAGCCTTTTCTTTTAATAATTTATTGCGGAAAAGGTGGGAGCTTTTATCGTAAAGGCAGCTGTGTGCCCTGACCGCCTCTATTAACTTCTCCTCCATTTTTCTGCCCAAAATTCATCCAAAAAAAAGTCAAGAGGGGTATCAAACGACGCCAATAATCACCCTCATTGCGAGAGTCGTGTCGAATGCAAGTCGTTTTCGTTTAGCCTAATTTACGACTTACGCAATGAGGCTGAATGTTCCAGGTACTTCACGATTTGCAGGAATTTATAGGAAGCTGTTCCCGGCCGACACCTGCATCCAACTCCTTTTTGGGTGGCGGACTTCGGCCGCGCTGTTTTCTCCATTAATAAACCTTATGAAAGGTGGTCACCTGGAACAGCTTCCTGTAAAAATCTGCAAATCGTGAAGCATCTGGAACGCAACTATTGGCGTCGTTGATGATCATCTTTTAGATGAGTTTTGGGCAGGTCCTGCCCAAGTGCACTACTACTCTAACGTGGATTGCATTTTAGAATTTTTACTTACCTTATTATAAATTTACTCCGCAATTTTTTTTTTTGGGGGTATATCTTTAATTCTAATTGATTTCAGCCAAATTCTTACAAAAGCTGGAAAAATGTTGTTCACCCACGCTCAATGAAAATTGTGTATCAGCTGTTTGTCAACGCGCGCAAAAAGTTGAGAGTTTGCCATCTTGTAGTTGCGATCCCGTACGAGTCCGGACTAGTCAGAAATAGTCAGAATCAGGCAGATTTTACTGGAAATCGATTCCGTACTCGGTTCTCTGACTATTGAGAGGACAAAAAAGAGAGTAAATACGGTTCTCTCTCTGTCAGAAGTTACCAGTTTTAGTCCGAGAATTTTTCGCTCTCACTCTGCTAATTCATGTTGAAAAGTATTTAATTACTTGTTTAAATGGATTCTAATGAATTTGAAAGTATTTTTGGTTATTTACATGTGTGAACTGAGTGTGTTTACATACAAAATAAGCAAAAATTTACAACCAAAGTTTGGAGGTTACGTTGAAGGTGACAGAAGTTACCGTTTTTTACTAGAAAGTGATCCCTTACTTTTCAATGTTACTCTCTCGCTCTGAGCGAATTTTTATTTTTTGACAGTTTTATTAGTCCGAGTCCGAGGAATACGGGATTGCACCCTTTGCTTTTGCGTTTGTGTTGGCGTTGCCCAACTTTAGTTATGTGGAGACTTTCATATAAATGCATGTATTCATAGTCAGCTGTCGAAGCGACGCCAACGCCAACGCAACGCCAAAGTTGTATGTAAACGGGCCTTAATTATGCACAATGAGCGAGGTTCTAAATAGTAGTGATGGGAAACTATCGATGGGGCTATCGATAGTATCGATGGTTTCATTTGATTATCGAATTTTTCTAAACACTATCGATAGTTGTATGTTGTTCACATTATTGGAATTGGACTATAAATGATGCACATGCCTACATATCGCACACCGTCTTCAAAAGAGTCACAACTAAATATTTGGCATTGAGATTATGCGCTAAAAATGTACGTAGAGCTTTTATTTACCTTTCAGCAAAAGCTGGAGCAAATTTTTGTTATAAAAACCTAAGGTAAAGTCGCCCTTGCCCATATGATTAATATGTATTAAGAAATAGTTTTTGGCATTTTCTGACAAACGTGTTATTTGGAGTTGTGACTCTTTTGAAGACGGTGTGCGATATGTATGTATGTTGTGAACTCCTTTGTTTGTTAACATGTTCTTCATGGTTTTTGTTACAAAATGTGTTATTGAAATACATACACGATCTCATGTTGTTTTACACAAGTTATTTTTAAGTAAACAAATAATCTTTATGACTTTTGTAGTTCCGAAATGGGTTACTTAAGAATAAGATTTCTTCCTGGCTGTTGTTGTCTTACATAGTAAAAGAAGAAACAAAGAAATTTACATTCGATGGAATGACAGAATCACTTGCCAAATTTTTCTAGGACCATAAAAAATGGATTCAAATTTGCATATTTACAAAATGTTGTGCCCAGTTTTAACAATGAATTTTAAATTTGTCGGGGCGTTATAATTATATTCAACAATTGTTATGTAGCTGCGTATTTGTACCCGGCGGCGCGGCATGCAGGCACGCTTGCATCCCAAGCTAGCTCGTCGGTTGGGGGGGGTTATCATTTCCGCCTGCCTTGGTAGTCGCTACACAAACAAAAAGTTAATCGTGCCTGGTGATACGGAGAACTACTAGTGCGGATGGTCACAAAAAAAAGGAGAAATAAGAAGATGGGCAAGAAAAAGCACTACAGATAAATGGTCCAGTCCCGTCCTGTCAGGTGGAGTCATCCCACCCTTCTTCTGCGTGAACTCCACGCGAAACCTTGGGCGTTGTCGTGACTCCTCACCTTCTTACAACGCCCCCTAAGCCTGACACACGTCCGTCTAACAATCAGTCAGTCATTTCACCTCAGTTGTCGTTGCGTCTTCACACTCCCTCTTCCCCTCCGTTGCACAAGTGCAACACCCACACCAAAAACCTGTGCCTAGCACTCCATTACTCAGCTGAATTCCTATCCAAAACAAACAAAAGACTTCACTTCATATTTCTTCTTTTCTATCTTAGTTCTACAATTCACCACTTTATTATTTCCTTTCTTTGTTTTTGTATAAGTGCTTAAGAGTATACCCTAATGCTAACTAATTTCTACTGGGCTAACTATTACATAAATATTTATCGTATCTCCTACTTTGACCTTAGTTTACTGCACTTAATCTAATGGTTTTCAATTACTCCATTAACAGTGAAACCTACGTAATCTTATATATTCGTGCCTATTACCTATGTCCACATTACCCTAACTCAATATTTTCAATACATCTAAACTCCGCTTTAGATTTTAATAATTCACAAAGAAAAAAAAACGTGATAAGAATGTATCTGCCTACCCAAATACATATATACCGGGTAATTGAATGTATGTTTGTACTTATGTATATATTAAATATGTATGTACGCTATAGTAACAAGAGAAATCAATTCAAATCGTACTCACCTTGGTCTCCAGCGATGATGGTACCAGCATGCTGACGAGAACCTGTGTGGAGTTAGAGAATTTCCTACCAATGGTCATACATACATATTTACTCCCTCAGCCTATGCTCTGAGTTCTTTACCTACTGCCCTACTCACAGTATTATCACACGCTCGTGGTTCGGGGCATCGAGCGGGTCATAATACTGCGCGGAAACCTTAATTATAGGCCAAAAATGCGGTATAAATAAAAATTACTACTAAAAAAAACTAAAAATTAATACTAATTATAAACTGCCCGTAAAAAAACCCCAAGAAAGTGCTGTGTCGTCTGAAACGGGGATTAGAACAAGTGCGAAAAATATAAGTTGTGTACTTATGTATGAGCAAATACATACGGGCGTACGTACATATGGATATGCATCTATTCATCAGGGTATGTATGTGCGTATGTATGTGCTTATATATGTACACCTGTAAACCTATATACATACATAAGTCAACATGCGGTTGATATAAAACGGTGGTACTGTGGAAACTAAACGGAAAATAAAACTGAGTAAATATTACTCAGACGTGATACTATAGAAATGTTATGTGAAAAATGTGAATTTCCCTAAAAAAAGCAAATACCTGGCATACATATATTTTACTTATCCAACTAAAAAAAAACGGAATTAAAAAAAAACAATGGAATGCTGCTATGTAGGAAAAGGGTAACTAAAATTCTAAATACAAATTAAGAGAGCTCCAAATATCTATGCTAATGACCATAACAAAACAAAAACCAAGAGAGCTGATCGCTGGGTTTTCGGCGCTGCTGCTGGTCAGTGGCGTAGACGCAGCGCCCCCCTTATGTATGCTCCCGCGGCGCTGCTACTGTTGTCTCGTCTCTTTCTGTTGTTAACATTCCTTTCCCGGCGGCTATAGGCCTGCTACCACTGGAGTGGCGTCGATGTTGATGTCGTTGGTTGTGACGTGATGTGATCCGTGAATAGTGTGCTGTGCGATTGATGTGATGTATGTATGTAGGTGGCTTTTGTTCCTTTGGTGCAAGTATACAGGTGTCGCTAGTACGTGCGGATGTGTGATAATGTGCTTCCTGTAGCTCGAGGCTAGTGGCAGAGATCTTCACTGTAGGCTCGTGTGAATGTGTGCTTAGGTTTTTTTGTTTGTTTGTTTAATTGTAGCTCTGAGTCCGGTTCCTGTGTGGAGATCGTTAAGATTGACGCAGATTTCTCAAAATCGTGGCTTTTTCAGGTGACAAGCATTAATAAATGTGCCGGCGACCTGGAAGAAAAAAAAACTCTCACTCAGTATATTGGCTAGGGCAGTAGTTGAGCGGTTACAGGGTTATAATTTTGCTTTCCGCCTACATAAATGTACATAACTTAGGTGACTGGCAGGCGTATGTACACATATGTATGTATATGCAGATTCGAATTAGAGCATTACGTGGTACTTACCTCCCGTTCCAAATTTGACACTATATTGCAGCTTAGTGATCACCGGTGCTACAGATCCGTAAAAAAAGAAAACGCACAATTCGCGCAAGTATACGCCTATGCATATACATATATCAACTTTTAACACTCTTTTTTTTTTTTCTTTTTTTTTTAACTTTAGATAACTTTGCCACTAAAACACTCGAAAATAACCGCGATGGCACCGTAACTTTCACATCTGACCCGTTCGCCACCGTTTGGGTCATTTTATACCCTCTGGCCTGACTAACTGGCTCAATCGGTATCTGTAAGTATATAATGTACATACATACCTAGGTACTTGTGTACATGGGAAGCTAAAAGGAAAAACCGCTTTTACCCATACACCTTTAACTTTCGTTTTACCGAGCACTCCGAACTTTCTCTGAGTACCATATCATTAACGTTTGACCAACTGTGTTCGATCAAACATCCATGACCGCCTACAGGCACATTTGGTCAACATAGATGTTTGATCACACTACCTATGCACGTATGTTCGATCCACATACCCACATACATATACACTCCGCTAACATAGATGTATGATTTACTTATGTTTGGTCAACTTCTTCCACACATACATGCACATACAGAA